CCACTTCCTGTTGCCTGTGGGTCAAGATGTAAGAACTCTCAGCTCCTTCTCCAGCACCATGTCTGCCTGCACGCTGCCATGCTTCCCACCATGATAAGTGAGCCACCCCAATGCAATGTTCTCCTTTATAAGAGCTGTCATGGCCATGGTGTGTCTTCATGGCAACAGAAACCCTACCTAAGACACCTGTTCTCACAGATCACAGTACAGCTGTAGAAGTGACAGAGGGACATTGTCATTGCTGGCCAGGGAGACCCCACCTACAGTTTCCAACTTACCTTTGCAAGGGAGGAGGACAAAGGAGAAGGGTGAGGCCAGCCAGCCTCAGTGGGTCTGCACTGACCTACACCTTGGTCCTTTCCAGGTCCCCAGGACACAGGGAAGGAGAACTGGATTCCCACAGGGCAGGAAGTGACAATGTTCAACACTCCAACCCCAGCAAGGAAGCAAGCACTACAGGAGAACTCCAGCTAGCAACTTGCTCAGTTATAAAATGGCATTTCCCAGCCTTCCTTGAGGCTAACGTGACTGTTGCACAGATACTGGCTATGAGACAGAAGATGTGGGTGTACCTTCCAGAAAGATCCTTTAAAGATGTGAACCATCCACATCCCCCAGAGAAATCTGTTTCCTGCTATGGTTCGAACTTGGGACACAGAAGCTCATGAGCCTTGAGGCAGAGCCATCAGGGGGTAACTGAGGCTAGATAAGCCCAAGTGCTTGGTGTCACCATGGTGGCATTAGTGACTTCATAGTTATGACAGGGCAGGAAGCTGTCACCAGATGCTGAGATAATACCAATGCCACTTCTAGGGTTCTTGGCTTCCAGAAACATGAACCAAAATTAAAACAGACAGGAAAAAAAAAAAAAAACAACTTTTTTTTTTGGGGGGGGAGGTCTCATGTAGCCCAGGCTAGCCTTGATCTTGCTGTGTAGCAGAAGCTAACCTTGAACTCCTGATTCTCGGCTGTACACCACCACAAGCAGTTTTCAACTTCTACTCTTTATAAAGTACAGAAAATGGACTAGACATCTGTCTTCTGTTTTCCTGGAAGACAGAAATAAGACAGCTGGAGATCCAGCAGCCACACCTGACCATAAGGTAACCTGACACTTCTGGTCCCAAAGGATCTAGGTGAGGGGTACTCAGTCTGCGGGGCAGTACCGCGGCCTACCTTCTGCGGTCATCTCCTGCAGAAAAGCCAGGAAGCTCCTCCAGCCTAACTCCCGAACTCAGCAGCTGAGACTCCACCCAGCCAAGGTTACTTTAGGGTCTCGGGCCATGCGGTCCATACATTGTTCCTTAAAAGGCAATGCTCTCAAACAAAGATCGAGCTGAACTCACTCCTAGGAGACAATGACGGCAATAACTGGGAGCTATTACACAAGGGAGAAAAGCAGGCTGAGCCCCAGCCTGGCTGTCTTCTTCTCCAGTGAGTCTCAGCCGCCTCAGCCTCACCCACATTCTGCTGAAGCTGGAACACGTCCCCTTCTTTAATGCAAAAAACGGAGGGGAACTCTGGCCAAGCATTGGAGGAGCGGGCCACAGCACAAACACACAGCGGCCAGCAGGCGTGACTGACCCCAAGGTGGGCACACGAGGGGCACGTGCCAAGGTAGCTGTCTGCTAGTGGAGGAGGGGGCAGCAAAGAATCAGAGAGGTCAAGGCAGGAGCGTGGCTCTATGACAGAGTACTTGCCTAGAGTGTGTGAGGCCCTGAGTTCACCCCACCACCTTATCATCACCCTGGGAGGATAGGTTAAGGAAATAAACGCCGGCAACTGTGTGTGAACAGGATCCTTCCGGAACAGGAAACTAAAGATAAATAAAGGGAGAGAAAACCTAAAGAGAGATGAAAAGAAGAGACTATTCGGATGTAACAGGCCCTCGGGGAGCAAGGCCCGGGGTTAGCCAAGGAAGCTGCGTCCTCCCATCTTTCCTCCACTCTCTCCTGGAGAAGCAGAAGGAAAACAAGGGCAGTGAACAGATGCTTCGGGTTCAAATGTGTGTTCCGGCCTGGGGCTGTGGAAGGGGACACTGCAGCAGGACGGGTCTCTTCAGTCCCTTCCTGCCTGCTGCTGCAATCTACTCCTCCCGGCAGTCCTCAGCCCTCCATCTCCAACACTGCTCGTTGCCACTAGACAGTGAGCGCCTCTGTGTGTGTAAGTGTATATACACGTGTGTGTGTGTGTGTGTGTGTGTGTGTGTGTGTGTGTGCGCGCGCGCGTGCGCATGCGCGCGCGCTCCGCCTCTGTATAGGTATGTGTATATATGTGTGTGTGTGTGCGCGCGCAGGCAGGCATGCTCCAGGGCCTAGGATGTGATCAACACAGAGTCAACAAAAGCAGCTAACAGGGGTGTGTACATGGCCCAGCAGTAGAGAGCATTTGCTACACAAGCATGAGGTTGTAAGTTCAAATCTCTAGCTGGGCATGACCAAACACATCCAGCAACCCCACACAGGGCAGGGTGGGGTGGACTGGAGGGGCACAGACAGAAAGATTGCTGGGACTTGCTGGCTACCAGCCACGCTCCAGGTGCAGTGAAAGACCCTGTCTCGAGAGAATGAGGCAGAGAGTGAGAGAACACAACACCCCACGGCCCCCTCTGGCCTCCACATACCCACACCTGTGTGCATACATCATACAGCACACGATAAAGGACTCAACGAACATTAGCTGTCCACCTCCTCAGTGGCACGTGTTAGGGGCAGAACAGCGGACGCCCTGTCGCCCTGGAGCTTCGGCTCTCAGGAGCTGAGACGCACATAAGCACACCCAGGACCTAGTGAGAAGTGCACACGCACACGCACATGCTGTGGAGGGGGGCAAGGCGAGGGCCGAAAAGTAGTGCCAGGACACAGAGGAATGAGGAGGCAAGCTATGGGTCCACCAGGACAAGGGACAGTGTGTCCCCCACAGGTAATGGGGTTGGTGAGAAGGGCAGCCAGGCTGGGAGGGCTCAGGGCTCCACGGATGCGTTAGCTTTTATCCAGTACAGAGGACTCCCTGCAGAGGGCCATGGGCAGAATAAAGACAGCAGGAGGTGGCTTTGTGGGCAGGTGGATCAGAGCTCGGCCAAACCCAGGGGCCTGACTGCATGAAGAAGCCAAGGTGGAAAGAGCGTGGGGGTGGAGCAGACAGGGGCTGTGTGGGACAGGATAGGAGGTGTGACTGGGAGACAGGCATGGCCCTGACAGTCTTGCTGTGAGAATGTACCAGAAAGGAAGGGCTAAACTAACTGCACACAAGCATCTCTTCCTACTGGGGCTGGCGAGAGGTGAGAACGGGCTGGCCAGCCCTGGCACTCCCAGGGCATGGGGGAGTAGGTCAGTCCCGGGTAAGCAGGGCAGTCATCCTTGGCAGAGGTCCTTCTCCATGTGGAACAGGCCCAGACAGCCTCTCACTCACTACTCTTGTTCCCTGTCTCCCGACATGGCTGCTAACTCCAAATCTATCCCTCATCTGACTGAACCAAGACAACTAGCCAGACATGGGAGCTCACACCTTTAATCCCAGCACTGGGGAGGCAGAGGCAGGCAGATCTCTGAGTTTGAGGCCGGAGCTCTAAAGGTGAATGAATGCCTCTTCTCAGCACACAGCCCATTCCTGCAACCCCTCCCCCCAATATGGGCACCTGGGTGCTCCTGAAGGAGGCAAGCATGCCTCCACATAACAGGAGCAGCAGACAGGGAGGAGAAAACAAGCTGGAAGGTCTGTGCCCTCGCCACACTCAGCTCTGCCAGTCACCTCTGAACTGGTGGCTCGGACCACACCATCCTACTGCACCCACAACCTGGCCGGTCCTCACTATCCTCCACAGGGCAAAGGGAGCCAGCATCACTGGTCACCCAAAGATGCACCGCTCAGATCCACACAAGCCTGTTCGTGAACATTCCAACTGAGACCAACTAGAAGACCTACAGGAACAGGAACAAGTCCTTCCCCACTGACTACAGGAGTGAGTGGCAAGTCTGTCAACCGTGTGTCTGCCTCCGCTCCGTGCTCAGTGTAAAACAGCCCCCAACGACACACACAGAGAGTGAGGCACCACTCCCAACCAAGGAGAAGATTAGCCTAAGTGCTGCAGCACAGCAGCGGCACCCTTCTGAGCGCTGCGCCAACGGCGTGCCAAGTGAGTCAGGACCCCGAGGCCAGGACAGAACAGCTCACACACAGGCAAGGGACAGGGAAGTGGTTCCCGCTGGGCTGGGGAGGGCAGGGCAGTGGTTCCCACAGAGCCAGGGAGGACAGTGGCACAGCAGCATGGCCAGAGCCAGGCGAAGAGGATGTTGCCCAGGAACATGGAACCCAGCAGGTGTGAGCATGGAATGAAGGTGGACCGGATTAAAACCTCAGCACGGGGAAGGCAAGGTTAAAAAGGGAATACCATCAACCAGGCGTCGCGGTGCACGCCTTTAATTCCAGCACTTGGGAGGCAGAGGCAGGCGGATCTCTATGAATTAGGGGTCAGCCTGGTCTTTATAGTGAGTTTCAGCACAGCCAGGGCTATGTAGACAGACTCTGTCTCAAAAAAACGGAGGGGGGACCACCTAACAAATTCTGAGCACCAATTCTGGTAGACCTAGTTTAGGGTACCGGGAACAAGCAGTTTCCAAAGACATTCTGAAAGAACTAAGAGTGGATTTGGCGGCACAGGGCACACCACACAGCTGCACTCAGTCACATCTTCAGCCTGGCTCAGGGAGCAGAAAAGCAAGTGCGCGCGCACACACACACACACACACACACACACACACACACACACACACACTATTCTCTAGCTAATGCATTATCCATGACATTCCCAAGAGCACCAGGTTTAGATAAGACCCTGCTGGGGACACCAGCACGCGGGAAGGCAGCTGAGATGTCAGTGACATCATCTCGCTCTCCTACACTTCAGACAAACATAGGAAGCTCAGGCAACCCTTACCTCCCCCAGCAATACGGCGGAGTGACTGTTACTATGTGTTGGGCCTATTTTACCTATTCCTTACCCTGCCATGGCGTTAGCCTTCCTTCGCTGTGACAGAAGACTTGAGAAAGTCGACCTAAGGGAAGGAAACACTTCTTTAGCTCACGGTTTCCAAGGTTTGCACGTACAATCACTTGGCCCCATCACTGGGCCTGTGGTGCTTCAAGACATCACAGCTTTAGTGTGAGGTAGATGAAATAAATCCATTGACCTCATGGCAGCCAGAAAGCAAAGGGACCCAGCGTGCCCCCAGTGACCTAATTTCCTACAACTAGAACTGACACCCTGTCTCCAGGTTACACAACCTTCCAATAGTGCCTCAAGCCAGTGATGAAGCCTTCTGACACTGGGAGGGGGGTGCCTTGGGGTGACACTCAAAATCCAAATTGTCATACATGTCCAGGCACTGGCCTCCCTCTCTGGGAACCCAAGCAATGAGGACAACAAGCAAACCTCAGACACCCCAAGGCGCTCAGGTAAAACTGCCCACTCACCTGGGCCCACAAACCTCTACAGTGCAGTGCAGACCACCGTCATCCCAGGGTTGGTGCCTGGGGAAAGCCAGGCCTCACTGAGAGGCCGGAAAGCCATCTCCACGCCATTCACCTAAACCCAGACCCAAGTAAAACACTTTAGAGGCAGTGTGCTCTTGACTTCAGATGAGGGCCTCTTAACCAACCAGGCCAACAGCTCAGGCTCATACAGGCACAAGGTTCCTGGGGACATATTTTAAGGGCACGCTCCCCACTCTACTGTATTTATAATATACAATTGAAATCCTGAGACTCTGTTTACACACTTCTGGCCAAGGGAGGTGAGCCAGCTCCCCAATCCCAGGCCACATCTACTGAAGCAGAGTAAACGAAGTGGCATCATTACTCCTGGGGCTGGATTCTGTGTCTCACAAGGACAAAGCTGGGGACATCACCCACCTCAGCCTCTCCCCGCTTCAGCTCAAGCAGGAAGTCCTGTGATGGCAAAGCCGTGAAAGGCAGCTTGCTGTATGGGGCTGTCACTCTGTCCCTCAGCAGCCCCCTCCCATCAGGTCCTTTGCATGGCGATTTCGTCTCCATGACACTCTGGGTAGGCATGAGCCCCTAAGCCAGTCTTGCAGTCATTTCTAACAGCTGCCAACCGAAGGCGTCACTCACTACACAGGACACCACGGCTAGCACCAGGTCACCACAAGACCATCTGCCCTGGTAACTAGTGGATGTGTCTGGGTTACCTACATGTTTGGGTTTTGCTCACTGTCTCCACACAAGGCACATGTCCACACTCACTACCAGCCATGGCTGAGTGGGAGAGGGTGTCAACTGGATCAGCTCAACGGAACTCTGACTCTCTGTGAGGTGACACCTCCTGAACCTATGCCAGCTGTCACGCGTCGCTATGTACACAGGACGATCCCAGACAACAGGCTGTGTGAGTGGGACCGTGCTTCACAGATAAGCTGTTCCTTCACCGAACGGCAGCCACTGAAGAGCAGCTGGTTCCTAGTCTGAGCCAGTCCTCAGAAAGTAACTCTCACTTCATCTACAAAGGACAAGGTTCAACGACTTGCGTTTCATTAAAAAAAAAAAAAAAGAATTGCTCTACACAGATGAATTCCAGACTCAGAGGCCTTTGGAAAGAGCGGCCATGGGCTCTGGCTTTGGCTGCGGAGCCTGAGGATAACAGCCCGGCTGAAAGTGGCCAGCCTAGACAGGGTAAGACAGAAGTCAACAGCCTAGAGAAGACCCGCCATAGCCAGCAAGCAGCCGGGGGAGGCTCAGTGTGGGTGTGCATCCTCTACAAGTCCAGCAGCGGGCCTGTGCCCACATCCTGGGGCAGGGCACCCGGTGACGGAGATCTCTCACCTTGTGCCTGAGAGATGATGGATTGTCTGACTCTGCTTTTTAGAGACAGGCTCTCCTCACATAGCCCACGTGGGCCTCAACTGCCTAACCTGAGACCCTTGGAGGTGGGGGTTATGAGACAGGCCCAGCACATCTGGCTTAGGTATGGCATCAAGGATTTCCATAATACCTTGTTTGTTTGTTTGAAGACAAGGGCTCACTGTGTAGCCATGGTTGGCCTGGAACTCACTATGTAGATCAGGCTGGCCAAGAACTCACAGAGACCTTCCTGCCTCTGCCTCAGGGAGTACTGGAATTAAAGGCATGCAACACCATGCCCAGAAATACCCGGGATTTTTTTAAGATCCTGGAATTAGCACAATGTCAACATCAGAAGAAGTGCTCTAGGCAAGTCACTTCTACCTGACTCTGGGGCAGTTTCCTGCTACATGTGGGGGGTGCCATGCCTACTCTCCTGTCCCTAAATACGAGGATGGTGCAGATTGTGTAGGTACCAGTGGCACCTACAACAGCCGGTGTCGAGGCAGACACGGTAGTGCTTATAGTCTCAGCTCTCCATCTCAGCCCTCAGGAGGTGGAGATAGAAGGACCAGGAGTTCAAGGTCATCTTCAGCTATGAAGCTAGCGTGGGGCCAGCCTGGGTTACATGAGACCCTCTCTACACAAAACAAAACTTTAAAAAGCACCGGTCATTTAAAAATCACTTATTACACGTGACGGGCATTAAGAAGCATGTGTGTGTCCCAGCCCATTGGGCCTTTACAAAATACCGACAGTGAGGGGCAATTGCCAGCATGGTTCTACAGAAAAGGAGAGACAGAGAGATCCAGCAACCTGCCCCAAGTCACACAGGGGTGAGCCAGCTGGAACCTGACCCCGGGAAGTCTAGGACCAATACACTAAATAGCCTTCTGTAATTATGTCTATCTTCATCCAGAAACCGCGGAATGAGCAGTTACAGTTGTCTGCAAATTACAGATGAGAAGAAAGTAGCAAGCTGATTTTGTCCAGCTAGGCAGCTTCAGAGCCAGGAGTCCAGCAAGCCGCCTGACCTCTGCAGTCTGCGCTTTCTCAATCGGCCAGTGTGGGACTCCTGTCCAGAGGAGGGGACACCGCCTCCCCAAGGAGGACAGGGTGAAGGGTGAACTAGATGCCATGAGCATGCTCCCTGCAGTCTGCCTCCCACACAGGAGGCTCGTCCCGACCCCAGCTCCTCAAAGATCTGTCTGACACAATGCTCTAACTCCAATTCTCAATGTCCCCCACCTTCCCTAAGACACTCTGCTCCCCAGTTTGACTAGCCCAGGGAAGTAGGAAGGTCAGGAGATATTTGTAAAAACTAGAAGAGAAAGAAGAATGAGTTGAACAGGAAAAATCCCCCAGTGGAATGAGGAAGCAGGGCCTGAGACATGATCCAGCACTGTGACTACTAGGCACTGCCACACACGGCACTCGGGGGACTTTACTCTTCGAGGAAAAGGTCACACTGTAGGGTTCGCAACCCACCGTGCAGGGAAGACAGGCATAACCACAATGGAATACAGCCTTTTTTGGCAGAAGAACTTCTTTTCGCCATCAGCAATTTCTTATCTTTCTGGGACAGACAGCTATTCCTTACAGCCCGCTGACTGGAGGACTGCCCAACACTCAAGAGCGACTACGAGCCCAACCTTTCCCCATGGGCTGCGAGTCTGTTACTCACAACAGCGTTTCTACACACTGAGGAGAGCGGCGCGCACATGTTTAGGACACCGTTCACACAAGCCGTAACACATGATGACCCTGCCCTGTAGACCCCCAGGCCAATCCCCTGCATACACACAAGCACACTAACCACCCACAGCATGAGAAGGCCCAGAACAGACAGACACCTCTTGACAACAGTTCCAAACAGACAGACAGGGGGACAGTGAGATGGCTCAGTGAGTATGGCCCATGCTGTCAACCCTGACAAGCTGAGTTTGATCCCTAGGACCTACATAGTTGAAGGAGAAAGCTCAGTCCCAAACATATATATACATATATATATATATGTATATATATGTATGTATATGTGTGTGTGTGTGTGTATATATATATATATGCTACACAACAGGCTTCCACTAGTTAGAATCACTTAATAATCTTAACTGAAACTTAGAAAAATTTTAAATGCTTGTAAAAATTAGCAGAATGGGCCGAGGCTGTGGCTCAGTGGTTAAGCACTTGCTCAGCACAGGCCAGGCCCTGAGTTCCAGCCCAGTGTCACAGCTAACAATAAATAAATCAAAGTTTCACAGGAGGAAATTTGAGGAGACCCTGAAGGTTAGGTACGGCCAAGTTCAGCCGAGGGTAGAGGAAAGGAAGAGAACAGAGAATCAAAATAAGCGAAGAGAAACAGGGTAGCAAGCCCAGACCCAGACACCGAGGTTCTCTGTGAGGAACAGTGAGCGGAGAGGAAGTGACCTTGGTGACCTTGGCCTGAAGTCTGGACCTGTGTGTGTCACTGAAAGAACAGAGTTCTCGGGGGCAAAGGGCAGGGAAGCCAGGAGACTCTGCAGAATTGTGGAGGCTCCGGAGTGCTGCAGCTCCATATCCAGGTCAGACAAACCCACCGGTCCTCGAAGTGAAAGGGATGGAGGTGGGTGCAATCTGTGCTGGGGTGTCTTTGCAGCAGCCGCCAGGCCTGCGTGCCATCCCCAGCACCACAAGAACGGCCAGCGGCATAAGTGATATTAGCGTTGGAACCTGATACTTCTTAAGAAGCGAAAAGTAAAACTAAGGGCAAATAGGATGCTCCGACACTGTAAGAAAATGGACACAGTTCCAACCACAGAGACTTCCTTATGGAACCCTCAAAAGGACCTCTAGCCAGTGGGAGCTGGGGAGCAGGGAAGACACCCCAGGGTGACTCCACAGCTGGTTAAGGGCTCACTGGAAAAGTGGATGGAGAAAGAGGCTTGGTATACACCTCTGGAACTCAGAACTCTGGCACCCACACCTGGTTCCTGGTCAGCAAGTGAGGAGGGAATTGCTAAAGGAAGCCTCATCAGCCCCTCCCCAGGCTGACGTGGGTGTGGACAGCTCTGAGAACGCAGGAATACACAGGAGACCTCAGAAGGGGAGGTCCCAGACAGACACTTCTGGGAGATGCTGTCTGCAACCTGGTGGCCCTGCACATGCAGGACCTGGGTCGGAGGCCTGGGTTCAGAGGTCCTGAGCCAGAAGGGATGGGGAG